GCGTGTCGTAAATTAAAAACGGCTATCCCCATCGGAGCAGAAGCATAATTCGATTCCCTGACCTATTAGTGAAATAAACAGCGTATTCAAACACCACATTTATTTACATGGATAAATATCAGGTAATTATTCGCTAATAGACACTTCACGCATACATCACGAATACCTGGCGGAACCGTTCCGTCAATAAACCTATTGGCAAATAATTTTGACAAATGCAAGTTCCTTTCCCCGAATTGTTAACCATTGTTCTCCCCCTCCTTTTTCTCGTCCTCTCGCCAATTAAATATTCCTTAAATCACAAATGTAACGACGGTGAAACGAGAGCCGCGTGAAAAAAAAAAAAAAGGGCGAACAGAATCGAACGCGAAATTTCGCCGGAAACCGTGGCGAGAAGCATCTCGGGTTGCGCACGAGCCATTGTCCGTGCTCGCTTTCAAAAAGTCAACCAAATTAATTTCAATTGCAGACCGCGGCCCGGTTCGTCTCCTAGCAACCGAACGTTAGCGGAGTACGTGCTGGGAGCTGAGCGAATATAAATTGGCGCGGCAAACAACTTGCCAGCAAATTGTAATCGGTGAGCGAAACGCGAATGAAACGCGTCGCGAGAGGAAAAAAAAAAAAAATATGTACGAGCGAGCGCGGAAATGTGAGAAGACCGCCGGCCGAGGAATCTCTTCTGCCTCCTGCGCATTAGGCACGTTTAGTAGGGGAGATGATTGTCTTCGGATAACTAACGTTAGGGTTGAAAGCACTGACACTACAAGAGAAGAATTCGAGTAGCAATTGAAAGTAGCGATTAGAATCAAATCATTGGAACTCGTAATGAACTTTTGCGTTTTTCTGTAATAATTGTAGAAAAAAAAAAAAATTTAAATATCGGAGTTGCTTTTTTTGTTACTCTAAAAAGGAGATCAAACTTGTATTATAAATTCATAAGGAATGACAAGCTTCTGCATTGTTGATCGTGAAATCTACATCTTTCTCTCTCTTGTAATATTTATACGTCTGGTGTAATTTCCAGAAAAAGAATAACTTAAATATTGGAGTTGCTTTTTTTGTCGATGAATGAGAACAACGAGACTTGCCAAGACTTGTGACCCGGCGTCTAAATTTCATTCCAGTTAGTCTGTCTAGTCTGTTTCTTCTGAATGAGAAATAACACGAGAAACTTTGTATCGCTATTCTTCTTCATACCATGCTAATATCACGCGCAGGAGTTCGAAACTCGTGTGTATGCCGCGAATGAATATACCGTCGTGAAGTAGTAAAAAAATAAAAATTCAGCAATCAGCGTGTTCAAAGTAGTCGGCCAACATTTCCGTCAGTAAAAGACCGTCCGATTATTAACCGGTGTCCTCGAACCGAGAGTGCAAACGAGAGAGAGAAGCGGGCGCGATAATTGAAACAGCGAGATCCTTCGACACCTCGTCGCTCCTTTAATCAGTCACGCTCAAAAGAATCGCTCGGGTGCTCGGCGACCAAAGCGAAAGAAGGAGAGGGCGCGTGCTCAAAATTCACCAAACTGATTCTTATTTCATCCACGAAGGAGTAGGAGGAATCGGAGTAAGAGGAGAGAGAGACCAGGACTGCCGAGTTTCTCTTGGTTACACAGGCTCGACCGACGAGATACAAAGTGTTGCAAGGGGTCTGCCTTTGATGTCGAACGGTCTCGTGGATGATCGCGCCCGAAGGCGTGGAATTCGGCGCCCGACGAGTGACCACTCGTGGATCCGCGACGAGTGTCGCGTCCCCCATCCACCAAGGCAAAGGAGGGAAAAAACACTCTTTCCGCGTCGTTTCAGGTGATCGGCGCGGCGCGGCGCGACGAGGGGGCACGACGTTTGTCCGGGAACGTTCGAGAGCACGGAGCTGGCAAGACAACGCGGTGGAAACACCACAGTGCGGTGGAGCGAGCAAGCGCCGCGAGAGTGAGAACGAGGAGGGAGAGGAAAAGAAGGGAACACCGGGGGTGGAAAACAATTAAGGGAAGGCGAGGAGAGGACCCACCGCCTTGTACGATAATGCGTTGTAACCTCCGGCAGAGGAGAACGATACCGGTGAAGAAGGAGGTAGATACGATGATGGTTGGTTGGTGACGACGGAGGTAGTGGAGGAGGAAGAGCAGGTTGCCGAGGATGAGGTCGGATGAAGCAAACGGAATGGAAGGGGCAGCGGCGAGAACCGGGGGGTTGGCGGAGGTCGTGGTTCTTACTTTGCATTCCTTTGTGTGTCCTCCGGAGCCCTCCATCTCCACCCTCCTACAACCCAGTCATCCTCCTCCCTCTTGAAGCTTGAACTAACGCCCGAGGTTTTAATGCACTTGTCTACTCCACATACCGTTCATAAAGACATATATGCCGTCTGTTGAACGTAGCGGGCAAGAGGACTGATTCTTGGAAAAGAGGAGTAGAACGAAGACAGAGAAGGAAGGCGGGAGAAAGAGAAAGAGAAAGAGAGAAGGAGAGAGAGAGAGAAAGGGAAACAGATACGGTACAAGAGGGGGTGTGGGTCGTTCAGAGAAAGAGGGTGGAAAAAAAAAGTGGAGGAGACGGGCGGCCCGCGCGCGCGATGTACGAAGAAGCGAGAGACGGTGCCCGGCAAAAGAAGAGCGCGATGAGAAAGAGAAAGCGGAGAGCATAACGATATGAAATGCATTTTAAATTCTAAGCATTCGCTCCGCGTCATGGAAAGACCTCGGCTCTTTGCTTGCATAATCCTGCCCGGTGATGTATAAAAGTTAAAAAAGAACGGCGGAGAGCCTCAACGGCGGGGAGGAATTAAAATGCACTGGTCGAATCAAAAGAGAGAGAGAGAGAGAGAGAGAGAGAGAGAGGAAGGGAGGGAGAGGGAGGAAAGGAGGGAGAGAGAGACTTTTGCCGCGGATGCCTCCGCAGCCGTAGGCCACGCAACTTTCCGTTCACCGGTATCCATCCGGCCGAAGACGGAAGACCGTGTCTCTCGTCGTTTACATCGCGTGGTGTTTCGTATGAATAGTTCCGTCTGGCTTGTAAACGGCAGAGGCTTTTGTTGCCTGCCAGGATACAAAGTTCACTGCTGCGACGAGATCTCGTCGACGGAAAGAAAAGAAAGTTGATAAGCTTATGTCCGGCGTGTAGTTTTAAAAGTACCGATAGGGAGATTGGTAAATCTTTTCTTGTTTTTTTTTTTTTTTTTTTTTTTGTCTCAAAGAGAAACGTAACAAGAATTTGTTGTATTGTGCAAAAATGTAACAATATTATACAAAAGTATGATGGACACACCGTATGTATTTATCATAGGATTTAAATACTAATCAATCTATCGTTTCTTCTATCATTATTGCACGTTTACCTTGAGATAATAATAATAAATTAACTGGCTCAAGTAACGTGTTCAAATATTTTGTAATATATTTAAAAGAATGAGTCCCACACAGCAAAGAATGTAGTACCATTTAAACGGATCGATTTGAAAGGTGATAAAAATCGTAACAGAAATCGTAGAATCGAACACGATTATTTGTTTGCAATGGACAAAACGATTAAAAAGAAAACATTGTTCGGTTACTTTGTATCGTGCCAAAGTGAATTCAAAAATACGAAACTATTCTGCAATCGATAATACGATTATGCGTCGCTTCGAAAACATCGCAGAGTTGTTTTGTTACCACAAAGAATTCTATTACACGCTGCAAAGTACCAGCGATGACAAAAGTTTCCCCTTGCACGTAGTGTCTATCACCGAAACGATTGAATTCAAAGGTAACGAAACAAAAATTCACGTTGTCGAGTACGTATGAATGCATTTTAGATCAATAAGCTCGGCGTAAAAATAATTTTGTTAATATCCTTGGCGCAATTCCATCTTTTATTTCGGTATAAATGACGATTGACGAGAATCTGTATCGATCGTTAAACGTCATGACTACGGTTCAATTGCGCTCGCGTGTATCGATAAAATTACAAAGTATTTTCTGTACGTGTATGTACGTTTAATTATAAACACGTGACAAAACAAGATCCGATTGTGGCGTTTTGCAACGAGGCGATGGATCGATGAAACGGCAAGGAGCGCGTGAGCGGCGCGCAGCGTTCGGCGAGATTTTAACGAGACGGCTGAAAAGTGGCCGAAAAAGTCGAAAGGAACAGAGAGCAGACAAAAATATTGAAACATCCAGATTGAAAGCTATCTTTCACACGTGTTGCGTTCAGGCTCTTCTGGCGTGTCAATGCGATACATATTTCATCGAATATAAATACCCGGGGTTTCCCTCGTTTCTTCTCAGGCGAGCGTAATCAATATGCATTCAGTTTCCTCGCGGGTTTTTTCTGCTCGCTTAATTTCGCGCTTGTTAACGCGCGGTCGATGATTTTCTTTTATTTTTCCTCTCTGTTTCTTTTTTTCGAGCGACGCGACACGCCGGCGACACTTAGGAAATTACGAATGCATCGTCGTCAAGAGAGAAATACTAGTCTTATTATTAGTGATGGTTGTTCGAATCGAACGATAGTCTTGATAGTCTTTGGAAGTCTTGAAAGATTCGAGATAATTCAATAGATACTATTGAAATATAAACAATTTTTTTAAAAAAATAAGTAATTGCACGAACTTCTTTATATTTCATGCTTCTTGTAAATAAAATATTGCAAAGAATGGAAGATATTTGTAGAGATGGAATAGTGAAAAAAATAGCAGTAATTAATATTTTAGAAGCATTGGTATAATCCAAACACTCTGGAATAGTTAGAAAGCTCGAGATGAGATAAAAACGTTTTTTACATCTTACCTATTATGCAGTTAATTGTCTAAAATACCGTGAAAAAGATTTAATTTTTTTATCAATATCCATCAGAGTATCTAACATCTTCAAGAGTTCCAAGATTTAAAAAAAACTTCAAGAATATCAAGTTTTAAGTAGCTTCGCGAGTGTCGAATTTTAATTCAAAGTTACATATTGATATTTGAGACGAGTTGAAATCCATCACTGCCAACATTGTTTAAATTATAATTCGACTTACCTCTTGTGTCCCGGTATCCGCGCACCAGCCAGCTCTCTGTTACGTCGTCATTCGTCAATCTAAAGAACAAACGAAACGGTGAAAGAACGATTAGTGAAGAGTGGTAGGAAAGCGTTTTCGAGAGTCTGTACTTGTCGATTGCTTTCCTCTCATTTTCGAAGCGGCGCATCAAGCCGAGAGAGAGAAAGGGGGGGGGGAGAGGGAGGGCTCGAAATCCGTTTAAACATTTAATTCGATGCAACAAGGTCAAGAGCAACGGCATCGGAATTTATAATAATTTCGATTTTATTGCGGCGCATGTTTCACCGACGGGCATAAATTAATTTCGATGCTCGCGCGCCGGTAGTTTTAATGAATTTCAAGTAATTTCTATTAAATTGCATCACCTTCGCATTATGCCGTCGCGTTTCACCGGTCACTTCATATTAAAATCCGCAAATATTTATACAAAATAACAACAAAACGCGTTGAATTGAAACGAGCCGGCCAACGGCACAATGCCGCTCGACAAACCGACCTCATTATCGAGCCTCGATCGCTAATTATCACCATCGACGTTTTGTTATTCGTTTCAATGGTATACGAAGTGACGTGTGTCGCTTGTTCTAGCGAATTAAACTATCGTTTTGTTTCGCGTGACCGTTGAATTTTTTTCTTTAAACGATAGATTTGGAATGAATGAAGTTAGAATTTCGTTTTCGAATTTTAGATTAGAGAACGGTACGTGTTTGAGAATATTAGGACTCACAGCAGCACAAGAAGAAAAAATGAAAATGACCACTACTGCGTTCCGTTCGTAAATAGAATCGTATCAGTTATTTATTATATTTATTATATTGCAATTCAGAGCAAAAGAAGAAAACACAACGTGAATGTAAATTTTTATTAGCATGAAATAAAGATGTTACTTAACCGATCGGTAATATAGGTACCTATGCATTATTCCATTACTTTCATTAGTTTTTTTTTTTTTTTAAATTGCTTATCACCTTCTATCGAGTCACTCTTGCAATTTTATAAAACTGTCGCGTCAACAAGGTCCGCTGTTTTAAACTCGTCCTCACAAAAATCACGTTCAAACGAAAAGTTAATTCAATTGCCTAGTGTAAAGTTCGCGATATCTTTATCATCAGCTCGTGCACCAATCAATAGAAGCGTGTATAGTTCGCACGCAAACGTCAACAGCCCATGAACGTCATCGTGGTCGATATCATCGTGGCCGATATCATCGTCATCGCTCAGGAGGAAAAAGACTTCTCAGGAGGAGAAGGCACAAACGAGCCGAGTAGTTTTCTCTTTTTTTTAAAAGGAATCGCGTGTTCGGGTGCGTACGTGCATGTACGTGGAATACAATGGTGACGTTAGGGTCGGTCCCGTGGATGTACGAACTGGTACACAGCAGCCGGTCGATTCAGAGGAGACGAGCCCGCGAGAGACAGACAGAAGCGAGGAGCGAGCAACGGAGAGATCCTTTTCATTCGGTGGAAAAAAGAAAACGGGCGCGAGATTCGCGCTTCATTCATGGCCAAGTCTATGGGGCGAAAAAAGACTTCTCCTTCGAAATGTAATTAGCATGTCTTTGCACAACGAGCCAGACAATACCGTCGTTTAATTAGTATGTGTCTCCGTGTCCCCGAGACCGTTTCTTTCGTCGCGATACCGTGCCCTTTGCTCGCCCACATGCGTTCTACATAATCACGACAGGCACACGCGCGCGTACATACACACATGAACGTGTATATGTACATTGAGAGATTCACCAGTGAAACCGTGTGCGCGTTTATGCGTTGCCGCATCGCTTATTGCACGCTATATCGCTTGATACGAATATCTCCGTGTGAAGTACGAAATACGATTTTGATTAGGTTGGTTACTTCGAGTCTTTGAACTTCTAACGTTTTTAAAGATGTTTAATTAGAATGTTGCTTTGGTAACAAGTTCCATTACTTTGGATTTAATTTTTAGAAACATTGTATGATTAATTGGTCCTCGTATATATTTTGTTTAACTAGGGTAACGCATGTGTAAGTGTGATCTCCGCTGTTTCATATATTATTTATGTAGACTATCTACTATTTCAGTCACTGTTAAATTTTTGTAAAATGTTTAATTAGGAACAGAAAAATCGTGGAAATTGTTTAAACACATTGAAATAATTTCCAGTCTGTTATCGAGAATATTATTTTACTATTCAATCTTGCACCAATGTCGTTTAATACGTTGTTAAATATTATCTAAACGAAATACTATCATACACGGTAAGTCAGTAATTTCTATTGTTCCTCGTGCTGCTTAAAAATTTGACTAATTTACTATTGAAACTTTTTGTTAACAGGATCCGGACGGGAACGAGAGTAACGAAGACTCCGACACGACGCAGTTTATTGCGTTCTTCTTTTATTTCAACGAAGGCTGCATCCCGCGGACACGTGTTCCCACGGCTCGAAGACCGCGCTTTAATGGCGTAGCAGAGAGCCGCTGGATACGTGACGCGATTGTGACGCATTAACGCGACACGTCGATTCGCAATTACCGTGCGAGAATCGGCTCGCATCCTCGAGACAATTGCGGAGGGTGACGAAGGACGACCAATTGCTACTGAGCCAACACAGCAGAAAGCCACACGATTTCCGGGACGGTAATATCTAACATCGCCAGCGTGAACCACAGCGTGCATGCATGATCAGAATGGAGACTCTTATCGAACGTTCTTCTCTCACATTTTCTTTTCCCTTCTCTTCTTTTCTCGTTCTCATTCAATCAAAGAGGGAAAGAGAGAGAGAGAGAGAGAGAGAGAGAGAGAGAGAGATAGAGGAAGAAGACGTGGTAATCGGTTTCCGGTCGAAATGAATATTAAAAAACATATTCAATTCGCAATTTCATCGCGGTCTTCCGGATCTTTCGCGTCGAGTGTCGTTTCGTTCGAGTGCTCCTTTCAATGGGGGGACGCATTGTTCGAAACGTAAAATGTTGAGCACGAGAGTTTTTACTTTTATTACCGACGTTTTTTTCGAAATTAGTTTCGGAACGATCGTCGAGATAATTCAATGGTATTTCACGGTCTACGCGGGATCGTTTGGGGGAAAAAAAGAAGGAAAAAAAAAAAAGAAAAGGAAAAGAGGAAAAAAAGAAGGATGAGAAACAGGCGAAAGGGGAGGGGGCGGAGGAGGTGCAGGAGAGAGAGAGGAGAGGGAAGAAAGAAGGAAGGGAAAACGCAATTAAAAGCCGTTTTCAAATTGCGATTGCGTCCCCCACCTCCTCATCCCAGTCGTAAAACTATCGTTAATGTATCTACCGACGCGGCGTGTCTTCAATTAAACGTTGAATGTTATTTTTCCCGTGGCCGCGACGCTTTTGCTGGTTTCCTTGAGCGATAAATTCGGCCTCGAGCGTAGCCGTAATCAAACTCTTTTAAACATCCTTCCTCCTTGATAAGTTCTGTCGACTTCGACTGATCTGTGATTCATTTTAAACGAGAACTTTCAATGTCTTTTTATTAATTTGCATTAATATACAAGCCTAAATTGCTACGGGTCCCAAATGGGTTCGATTAACCCTCTACGTGTAACTTAAAAGTTACACATCCGTATATTCGATTATTGAATTATATCTTTTATTTATGAAGATATTATTTTGCTAACCGCTGCGTTTTATTTTATTTATCTCCTATCAATTATTAGTTCTTAGATTATTAATTATACTAACTCTTGCAAGTGAAACAGTAAAGCAGAAAGAGGGAGAGGTGAGAAAATGAAGAATTTGTCTTATTATACAAGAGAAATCTCTCGTTCGAAATCGTGCAACAAACAGAATTAAAACGAACAGCAGAAAAGAACTTGGGCATGACGATGCAGCCAAAACTCGAAATTATTCGATGTGGGTCAATGCCACGATTTAACGCGTGTATCCAGTCTTTTTGGAGGCCGAACGAATATCGAAATTGCAGGACGGCGTGGGGAAGCGCGACGAACTTTTGCATAATGAGCCTGGCGGCTGCGAACGGCGAACCATCACCGATCCACACCCCCCCCCCCCCCCCCCCCCCCCCCCCTCCCCCGTGCATGCTTCACGCACACCGCGGCGCGTGCATTAATATTTTCATTTGATTGCGTTAATTAAACTGGCTGCCAATCGATGACCTTTGAAGTTCACCGGCACGCGACACGCGTACACCAATTACCAATATTATTAATTGCGACGAGTTCCCCATTTTCGGCCGACGTCGGACAACCGACGCTTTTTGCGCCTGTCGCTGGATAATTGAAGGAACACGTGAGAATCCCCGGTTAATCACGTACACTATCCCCCCGAAAGTCTTAGGACATTTTTTTTTATTCCTTAGTATTCAGTATTTATCGTAGACAGTGACATTTATCCACTGCACGTATACTTTATAACGCAATATGTTAATATATCAATACAATACAGTTACAATTACACGTGTAATTGCTGCAACCTTTTACATGTCACTTCAGTTTCCAGTTAATGTATTATTTTAGTTTTCTAATTAGACTACCGGGTTTTCTGAATTTTTATGTCTCGATTATTTGTTTAATTTTTGTTTCTTCTTTATTGACTTTTTATTCTTTTCTCATACAATAACATGCCAGCTAAATTATATTATGGTTACGGATCGCGCATAGCAACAACGATTTTTTCATTTCTTCTCGAATGTAAAAAATCAGTTAATAATAAAAATACATAGTTAGGATGTAAATGAATTCAAAGATGGAATTATAAAATTTTTGAAACAATTTTTGATGTTCCAATTCGTGGAAACTTCTCATCTTTTCATTTATCCTATCGATTATTGATTATGCAAGATATTCACGATATCTTCGTATCAACAATATAAACAAGACATCGTAGAAAATTGAAACAACGTTCGTAAAAGCAACAATTCTATTCAGTCAAGAACTATCCAATCTCACGCGACGACAATCTTTCGATTTGAAATTCATCAGAAAATCGATTTTCCTTCAACGAACCGTAATTAACAGTCGATAATTAGCGTGTGTCAATCCAAATAACTTTTTCCACCAAAGGAACAACGTTCTGC